CCTCTTTCCGCGCCCCTGCTGCGCCCGGCTCCCTCCCGCGGCCCGTACTCGCGCCTGCATTCTTCGTTTTCCCGCGCCCCTCGCCTCCCACCGGGGCTCTGCCATCTCCCTTCTGTGCCCTTGCGCCCCCTGCACCCCTCTACGTCCTTCCCTGCAGCACGGAGAGCGTGCTCCCTTTAGCGCAGAGGGGACCTCATTGTTCCCGAAGCGCCGGAGCGCCTTGGACGGTCCTTTCGCTGGGGTTGGAGGAGTTTGACTGTAAGACTGGGTCTCAGATCTGGCAACCGAGCGGAGTGTGTGTGAAACGCTTCCCCAGCCCTAGTCCTGATAGCTTGGGGGATCGAAAGCGGACGTTAGTGGTTAAAAGGAAACTTTCCAGCGGAGCAGGTTGCTGGAGCAAACCGCACATCTGTCAGGGGCACTTCCGGCGCTGTTCTTGCTAGGGGCTGTATTGTACTTCAAGCGTGGTAGACGAAGGAAGGGAAGGCTTGCTCCTGTAACAGCTAGGCGCCTAGAACCAGTGGGACACGCACACACACACACACACACACACACACACACACACCCCAGCCTCGGCTAGTGTGTGTATGCCGGAACGTTGTGTTCCAAGTTAGCGTCCGGAGTAAATAACTGAACGCTTTTGAAGACATTCTAGACGTTTGTTATTTGGCACTAACACCAGTACTTGTGTTTCATTATTCATAGGATTTTGTGATGTGAGCTGGGTTAATACATACAAAAAAGTACTATCAGTTTTGGTTGACATAATGTAACTGAGATTTCAAATTTCTTGGGTCTGTGTGGTTGTTTCTCCGTTGCTCAGGTTCCCAGGCTCATCAAAATTCTGGGATTAGCTTTGAAGGGATGAGAGGGGAAGGAAATATAAATACACAGGGGGCTAAATCTAAAAGCATTTAAAGTTAAATCCTTTTTTTTTTTTTTTTTTTAAGCTGGCAAATGAATTGGTTTGGAATGAGCGCAAGGTCAGCCTAGTTTAGGTGGCATACAGTGGTGATGTGACAAGACAGCCTGAGGACTGCAAAGTCCCCTCTGATTTGCTCCTGGTAATATCTTCACTTCAGGCCTGAAAATAATCTGCAATTAAGTCTGTGAAAAGTAAATAGCTTTCTAACTGTCAGTACAGAATAAAGGTGCAAGATAGTGTTATATAATGCTCACACATCTTTTTTGGCATTGGAATAAAAAGAATAGCATCTGTAAGGAACATCGACATGGGGACCGAACTCATTTTCACCTTGCAGGGACTGGCTTCTACAGCTGGCTAGGCCAAGAGCCAAAAGTAACGCTTGCTAAGTTTATAAAGTCAAGCAGTTTTAGCCACCTTCTCTTACATCAATCCAAACACACGAACTTGCTTTAGGCCTAAACTTGACCATTCGAGTGTTACAACTGGGGAGTGTGATTTATTTGTTTATTCACCCCTGCCCTGGACTTACCAGCCTAGTTCTGCCAACTTGGGGAGGGTGAAGAGGGGGAGCCGGGAAAGAGGAGCTGGAGAGGGAAGAAGACTACACAGGCACCCCAATCTCTGCCAGTCTTAATCTCCCCTTCCTTTCTCCTTTGTCTCTTCTCCCTTCCGGTTTCTTTGGGGTTATGGGTGGGGTCAAGGAGTAGCCACAAAATAGCTGAAGCATTGGGAAGGATGGAAATGGAAGCTGCCCAGGAAAGGGGTTCTGAGAGTTGCAGGGTGTAGGGAATGTGGCGAAGAGGCCCTCTATCCGGCGCCATTTTTCTGTCAAGTGGTGCTACTGGAATGGAGTGTGCCAACCTTAAGTGTCCCTGTAGGCATTGCATTTCTGTGAGTGATAAGGCCAGGCCAGGGCTTGGTTGTAGAGGATTAGGGCAGAAATGGGATGCCAGTAAATACCACATCATTATGAGCACAGCCAGCAATGGAGTCAGGATGCTGGTGTTGTTGGGAAAATTCTCTTGGTCATTCAGAGATTTTATCAAGTTTGTCTGAATTTCTGTGGAGTAAGTATATTACATTATAAACATTCAAGATGAGAAGGTTTTTCTAACAGGAGCACCAACCTAAGTCCACAGGCAGAAAGGGATCCCAGAAATTCTTGAGTCTTTCCTTTAATTGTCTTGAACCAACCCACCGCAATACAAAACAAACAAAAAAACCAAACCCCAACAAAAAAACCCCAAACAAACAAACAAAAAACCCAAACAAAGACAGAAGCAGCAGCTTGGAGGGTAAAATGTTCTCAGCTTTTCTTTAATTCCTACACTTTGTGGGACCTTATTATTTGTTTGTTTTACATTTTTTAGCTAACACTTTTTATACTGAGATAAGGATACAAGATCAAGATCAAGAAAAAGGTTCAACATATCAGCTGCCTCAGTCTGTTTTCTGTTGCCATAACAGAATACTTAAAACTAGGTAATGCAGGAAGAAGTTTATTTTGGCTCGCTGTTCTGAAGGTCAAGATGTTCAAACTCAGGCCGTCCCCTCTGGTGTGGGCCTCACAATGTGCAGAAAAGAGAGAGCATGAGGGGTAACTAACCTGCTCTCATGGTAATTGTATTAGTCCTTTCATGAAAGAGAGCCACCATGACCTGGGCCATGTCCTAAAGGCCCCACCGGCTCTCAATAACCATTACATTGGAGTTAAATCTCAATGTGAGTTTTGGTGGGGACAAGCCACATTCAAACATAGCACTAACTTACACGGGTATTGTATCAGCTAAAAGTTCAAGATGAGTAAATTCCTTCATTTCCTCCTTCGCCAGGTACCACTCTGCAAGTAAGTCTAGTCTTAGGAAACTATGGGTTTGACAACACTTTAGAAAATAACAGAAAGTCTTACAATAAATGTCAACTAGCACACTTGAGAGAGTGTGCTCCTTCTGCAGATTTCCTGTTCCTAGCCCTTCCTTTCCTATCCCATTGCCCTTACCCCATACCTGGTCTTGACCTGGGTTCTATTTAATCTCGCTGCCCCTAATCCTCTTGGCTCCATTTAATCTAATATACTAAAATCAAATCATTATGTCTAAAATGCTAGTGTGACCAACGTCCTCTTTGCTTCAGAACCTTCACTGCTCAACGTGGCATTCACAGGCCTCCTCGGTCCAGTCCTACAGCCTTTCCAGCACTGTCTCCTACTCTTTCTTCATGCGTCCCACCAAAGCTTGAAGTTTGGTCTTCTTTTTCCTTCTGGGTCTGCGCTCTCTTCTTTGTTGTATGTGTTCCTTTCACTGAGAATCCTCTCTGTCTCCTTAGATGTAATGTAGCCTTAGAGATATGACTGAGGTCTTATTTCTCTTACAGTCATAAGCCCACTGCTTCTGGAACTCTCCCCTTCCCCTGACGTATGGGAGTTACTCGCTAATTGCATTTCTGGTAGGTTGCCCTTGACATCTCTTATATTGTTATTTCATTTTTTTATGCCTCTCTGTTCTTCCCTTACAGATTATAAACTCAATTAGAGTCAGGACCACCTTAAACATTTTTTATATTTTCCATGTTTACTAATAATTACTTCGGGAGGCTGAGGCAGGAGGATTGCTGTGAGTTCGAGACCAGCCTGGGCTACATAGTGAGTTCCAGGTCAGACTCAACTACATAGTGAGACCCTGTCTCAAAAAACCAAAAAAAATAATAATAATAATAATTACTTGATATTAACATTTAGCTTTTACTCACAAATATGTGATATTTAACTTGTTAACATTCTCATTTTTACATATATGAGAAATAATCATGTGTTTTGGAGATTTTTACTCATGCTTACAATTCGCAAAATAATCCATATTTCTATAGCCTAGTCAATATTTTCATAGAAGCATTTCAAAACACAGTACAAATACACGGGGTAAGCTCATGAGATGTGTATTGTATATTCATATATCTTCAGTAATAAAGCAGAACATAGATAAGAGATTTTTCCAAAGGGACCATGCCAGTCCTTATCAATAAAAATACTACATACTTTTCATAAATGGTCAAGGTAAATGACTTTTTCCTTAGCCTTCCTTTATGGAACTACATATCCAGCCATTTCTTTCTTGGGAGAGTTGTTGATGACTTGAATCAGGTTCTAGATCATATTAAAGATATGCAGAGCAGAGATCAATAAGCATCTAACCAAGCCATAGTTGTAAGCCATGAACCTGGCAATGTCATTTTCATTCTTGAGTGGCTTTACTAGAAAATGAGTTAAAAATAAAAGTAAGCAGCCTAACTGCACCACTGCTGAGAGGTAGGCCAAAGGAGATCCGGGGCTAATTTCCCAGGAAAAAACCCGGTAAATATATCAAATCTTGTTTGTTAACAAAAATTGCCTTAAAGCCAATCAATCTATTTGAAATCAAGCTATAACAAATCAAAGAATTTGTTAATCAGAAGCCAAATGTCTATTTTTGAGGAAAGACACACAAATTTTCACATAAAATGATCCAATTGCTACACCGATCACTTGGTATTAACTAACCAAAGAACAGCCTGTACCAAGGCTGGCACTTAAGGTCATATACTGGCTCTGTAGCTACAGTTTACACAGGGACAAACAACTCCAGCCATCGTGAGTACAGCAAGCACAGAGGAGCACAAACAGTAATCATAACAAAGAGTGGGCTCCTTGGAAAATCCTAAGGTGCTCTCCTCTCCCCAGTCCCCTTCCTCTCTCTTTGCTTCCTCTTCTTCCTTGTGTGTCTAACAAGTACACTGAACAATGACAGAGCCAACAATAATATTTTTCAAAATTTGGATGTATCGGAAAGTGTTCAGAACCAGGAGGCAGAAGATCCAGGTTTGTGTACTGGCTTTGTTACTTTCCTTTTGACCTTCCGTAGTGGCTTTGCCTTTAAAGTGGACTCCCCATTTGATCTCTCACAGAGTAGTATAGGAATTAAACGAGATAATGTATGTGAAACCATCTTGAAATCTCAGCATTGTACGTTATTTATTTGTTTGTTTATTTATTAATTTATTTTGTACCAGGGATTGAACTCGAGTCCTTGTGCATGCGAGGCAGGCAGTGGAACCACTGAACTAAATCCCCGATGCTTACGTTTTTTTAAAGCATCAAATAATGCCTTACTCAATCTGAGCCATTTCAAACCATGAGAGGTGATAGGACTTATGAAAAGAGCCAATTCAGTTAGATAAGCTCCTCTTGGTGAGTTTGACGCCTTTCTTTCTCAGTTAGATACTAATGAGACTAAGAGGCTAGATGACAGTGAACTATTTTTAAGGGCTCTTATCATTGGCAAATCATCTTTTAAATTTTTTTCTTTTTTATGCCC